ACTATCCAAATATGTACTAGGGGACCCGTGATGTGCGGCACTACCGCTATCTCCCAGATTTTTGGGTTACTCTTCACTCTGGAATTAGTATCGTCGACTTTCCCTGATCTAGCACCCATTTACGCACAATCTCGACAGTACAGTACAATCTAGCTCATGATCTGCGTCATCTGTATACTATGTACATTAGTACATTACACTACAGGACACTAGGTACAGGACAATACACTGCTCCAGCAACTTGCTCATAACCCCATCTTCCTCCCCATTACTCTACCCATGTTGCCGTAGTATACAATTACCTATACGAATATACCTAAGCATATCGGTGGGTATTAACTTGTTCCGGTCCGGAAACACCCGTGTTATCCGTGGCCGTCATGTGACTTTCGCAAGGTCGCAATGACACAATGGTAATAGCTTTCCACCCTACCTATTATGTATGTACTATTTGCACAACACATAGTTAATGTTGATATCTCAGGAGACTTAACCACAACTCAAAAAGACCATAGTATTATATATGCAGTGCTATTGAAGAGGAATGATTTTATTGCTGGGGGAGGATATCAGCGCTAAAGACTCGTGCGAACATGATCATCAGGGATAGGTATTCTCATTGCGGATATCCCTTACGAGACGGCCACAAGGCCCAGCCTTTTAAGGCCTCGTCAATGGCGTGTATGGCCGGATTTGGAACCGAAGTGACAGAGCGAGCCATCATTGGGAACCTTATCCGGCATTCTGTCTGGTCCAATCATCTTTCACCGTTGGATATAGAGCAGCATCAAAGCGGCGCCCTCATTTCCCACCTCTGGCCTTTTCAATGCATGATGACTGCCAACTCATCATGACTCGGACTCTCACCGAAAAGCAGCATTAGCCTTCTGGCCATGGCCTAGTGTTCAGCGAATCATAACTCAAAAACAAAGTATGGGATCTCCTTAGCCGGCCGACTGGGCTGCGACCTCGGTGGCCGTTCCTGCTCAAGAATGGTCCAGTACAGCCACGGTTTCAAAGACTCCTGAACACAGGTTCCAGGCAGAATGGCCTCCATTGATTACATCGTATACAAACATCAACGCACGTAGCTGAACAATTCGATTAATTGAATGAGAGCTCAAGTGGTACTAGAAAGCCCGAGTGAGGCCCAGAAATCCACATCAGATTCGGATTGTTAAACCTGACCATATATGTCAGGCGCTCATTGAGCCGTGAAATAGAGATTCCTGTTGGTTGAGGCCGTTGTCATTGCGCAAAGGGCTGGGGGGGCACCAGTTCTCTATTTATATACACCTGGCCACCTTTGTTCTAGTATTGGCAAGGTCATCGCACAGCTAGAAGGATGGCCAATGACCCTACACAAATGTGGTACGACAATAATGCAAGTTTGATGGCTGTTTCCTGGCTCACAAGAATAAATGTTATTGGTTCATTAACCTACAAAGGAGTTAGGAATATACGCAGAATTTACCTAGGACTAAAGCTATTCCGTGTATAAGTATTATTTAAAAGAACACTGAAGGTTAATAATAGCTAATATGTAAAAATAATGATTTTACATTAACTATAACCTCCCACAAGGGTTTTTTATAAGAAAAAGTGTAAATTCTACCTGCCTTAACAGCTTAATTAATAGATCATCCTTAGGATTGTAGCTATGTTTTTAATGGATGTTGTAGCGCTCTCTTATGTTTTTAATAATTCATATGTGCTGGCATTTCTTTTATGTCTTTAACAAGTAGCTACAGTTGTTTGGTTCATGCTAACCTCTGTTATTTTATTCCCGCTCCTGTGGGAAGTACAAAGAACAGTGTTTATATTACCCCTCACAGTGAATTCCATGTCAATTACTCCATCCCTTTCATAATATTGTTATTCCACCAAATGCTAGAACACTACCCACCTACTTCGCTATACTTTTGCTATTGTCAAAAAATTCTGAGGTTTCTTGGGTAGGTCGTAGGTAGGTAGAATATATTTGACAATCGCAACACCAGGCCATAACAAGCAGCTACGGCTGCCCGGTTAGCTCAATCGGTAGAGCGTGAGACTCTTAATCTCAAGGTTGCGGGTTCGACCCCCGCATCGGGCTCAATTCCCGATGCCTCTCAGTTCACTGAGACTAGCAACGAATTTTTTAATTCTCCCCTCTTCCTTTTTTTTTCAATTTCACCCCCTCTCCCTCCCTCAGCAACCCATCTCCAAGCTTTACTTATCCTTGACCGTTTTGCTCCTGCTGACCACCAATTTTCCATCTTTTTAGTTGTTGCTACACCCATCATGTCGAAAACAGTTGTGTTCACCGAGATAGAAAGAAATCTTTTGATAGTGCCGACTATAACCACAACAAGTAGGTAGGTGTATGGTAAATTATATTGGAACTTTCAACGTTGCATTAAAAAATTCCTCCCGCATTTCCGAGGCCCACTTCTCCAAGGCATGTCCTCGACTGGAGGTGTTAACGGTGATATCATTACATCCCTTTGAATGTTGATAGCCCCTCAGGGCAAAACTTCGCTCACAGGCCTCAAGCATGCATCGCAAGATATCAGCCCCCTTACCGTTTGAGCACCGCTTCATATCGGTTCTCTAGGAATAGCGTTATCGAAAGCTCCCATTGAAGCATACATTATGGTTGCTCCAGCTCCAGAGCTAAGCTCCGACATTTACCCCAGCGTCAAAAGAGTCCAAGGTGAACGTCTCTTCAATCTTTCCGGAGGCCTACTTCTTCTCAGCCCTCCAGGCCTCCCAGATGGGATGACGTCGGTGTTTTTGAGTAACCCTTTTCTTCTGAGCCCTATCCGCACCCAATATGGGGCATCGGAAGATGTGGAACTGGCAGACTGGCATATTGATCCTGTCACTGGATCACAGGAGGCTTTGATCCGTCTTCACTGGTCGAAGTTTTGGGTTACCATATAGATCAATGGCCTATGTGTAGACTTGATTTCTCAGAACTAACACGTTTTAAAGGGATAGTTGGATGCTGCCTAGATATGCAAGGACCTACTATGTACATCCTGTTTTAGAATTGGCTGCCTGGGTGATTATTAACACACTAGCCTATTCAAGACGTTTGCTTGTATGCATGTACCATGATTGGCAAACAGTTAAGTTTTCCATTGCCCTGGCTTCCTTGACATGTATCGAAGTAGAGCATTTCAACTCCCTCGTCTTCTTGAGACAGTTCTAGAACAGCCGAGGTTTACGAGACACACAATATACATTTAACTTGGCCCAAAGGACCAATGCACTCGTGAACTTCTTTTACTGACCATCAGTAAAACAACTGGTAGTTAACTTGCTACTCTGAAGGATACGGGAGAGGGCCCAGTGTATGGGAAGCCTAGATGCCATTCAGAAAGCGAGAATGTGCGGTAACAACATCACTACAAGAGGTGCTAACAACTCGGGATGCTCCCGAATGCCTCTAAAATGGAGCATGACATTAGCAAGAAAAACTAGGACAGGTTAATGATGTCATACTTGATCAAAATAGCCCGAAACAGGAACTGATTTACCTTTCATTCCACTATCCCCGGTCCATTACTCGGGCGAGGTTTTGTCTGAGGATGGCCTTACAGTTGCTTTTCCCTGTCCGTGGCCGGAAAAGGTGAATAGGCAAACCAATCAGAAGTCCAAAATGCCTTCCCGGTTGGCTATAGTTTGCACCGAGTCACGGGAAGCTAGATTCTAGTTTATCGTCAGCATTTATAACGGAAGGTCATTATTAGCAACAACGGACAAACCGCCGCAAGTTGCGCAAGCTTACCCTCACTGGGTCTTACACCTTCTATAACAGCTAACTGGGACTTGGAGAATATGCTCAATTCAGCAATAATCTTCCAGGGTATCCAAGGTTCGTTACTCTTCAAAGATCTTGGAGAAGAAGGCGAGAATGCCAAGGCGATATATACGCCAAATTGCCTAACCCAGCTTAGAAAGATATTACTTCTCCCTTTGTATGTCTCATTTGAGCGAGGGCTGAATAATTAGGCCCGAGACTTATTGTGTAACATACCGAAGTCCGAGACCTCGATTTATTGCGTATGACACCTTCTCACAAGCTATAAAAATATAAGGTTAATTGATATAGCCAGACTCGAATATCATATGTTAGCGGCAAGGAGAGGGGCTGGCTGGAAGCATTTGCAGATTACACGCTCCAGCTACTATGAACGGGACCGGGCAACGGCAACTCGAAGCAAATGTAACCTTTACAAATTTAAATTCTTTTTTTGACTCCCAAGTTTAAGGAATGCCATTGTGAAACCTACTGATATAAGCCTAACCAGCCAGTAAATAAATCGGCCAATAACTATCTGTGATTAGAAGTAAAAAAGGTCGATGTCAGGAGGAGACTCTAATCTTGAAGCACTCAAAATCCAACACGCACTCGACTTGGTTATACGCAGCTTCGGGAGCGCCTCGTGCGATTCCCTGAAGCCTGGGACTTATTCAATGAGCGGATCTTGTCGTCGGTAGGTAGGCAAAGAACTATGCCGAGCTGATCAAATGCGCTTGGGAATAACCAAGGATCTACAAAGTTTCGCAAGCTTCCTGGTTCTATCCTGGCACTGCAACGGCTCCACCCACTTATGTAATTTATTCTATTTGATCGGGAAAGAAATAAATGTGTCTGGTCTCGACTCTGGACGTGCCAATGGTTCGTTTCAGGCTGATCAGGATTGGTGGACTCTCTTCCCTCTACTGCAGCCGCATAGTAGCCGAGGTGCGTGTGGTTGCGTCATAACCAACACTATTTGAATCGTGGACCTCAAGGTTACACGTAGGTCGCGTTTGGGCTCATTTTGTTGTGTAAGTTGTTTTGTCTGCCCTAGGAACTTTCTAGGACCCAATTGACTCCAGTATGCTATTAATCCCCCAATGAGTACAGAGACTAAATAAACTAAGACCATTCCGACAATGCAAAATTCTCCAGCTACCTTTCCTTTCTTGACACAACTTACCAGCCTCGTGGGCCAACCAATAACTATGGCCTCGTGGCCCAATGGCAAGGCGTCTGACTACGAGAGGGATTCAAGAACGAGTCCTTTGTGGCAATCAGGAGATTCTGGGTTCGACCCCCAGCGAGGTCAGTGTGGGCAAAGGCTCAATAACCAGCATCTATTTTTATCGACTTCACAACCGATCGAAACTTTTAAATTTTGGTTTCTTTTCCCTTTTGTACCGTGCCTCCGGTGAACACTAAAAGGTACTTCCTTGTACCCTTCGCAGGAAGTTTCACAGTGCAGCACAGGTTAATTATAACATAATTTTGGCAGTGGGAAATCGTTTACGTACGTACATATTAATATTAGTATTGTACCTATCTAAGTATTGCTACCTATAGATACCTAGTTGCATCAAAATGACAGCGGGCTGACTGGAGACGGACCGGAGCTTATCAAACCTAACCTAATACTAGGTGATCTAGGTACCACACACCTACCATAAGGTAACCCCGCCACCCTCGGACCCCGACTAAGATTGATCCAGCTGCCCCTCCATACCATCTCACAAATCGTGCGCTGCTTGGTACCTCACCTTCCTCACCCGCGCGCGACGCTTCACGCTCATTAGCTCAAGGCCTTACACCACTGCTATGTTGAGAGCTACTTGAAAATCTAGCATCTCATACGACCATCAGGATGCCAAATTGGCGGGACGATTATCTGGCCTCGTTGCAAGAGGCGGAGCGCAACAATCCGGTGAATAAGGACCTAGTCGAAGCTTGTAAGCGCGGACCCTTACTCATATCCCTTTGGATCGGCAAACGGACAACTATAACACACGGCCAACGCCCGAACCCATCAGCCCAAACCGCCCCTCCGCAATAAACAACCCATTAGCCCATTCATTCGTAGCCATGCAAAGCTGACGATGGTGCTCCTTCGCCCACTTCCTAGGCTCCCAGCTCGCAGACCGTGTCGCAGCGCTCGAGGCCGAAAAGCTGGCCTGGGCCGCCGGTTCGCCAGCTGTTTCCGCTAAAGCAGCACCATCATCGAAACCCCCATCTGCCAGCGAGGCCGATTCCACGGCCTCGTCCGAAGGCGCAGCCCAGCTCCGCCTCGATCTCGCTGAGGCCCTTCGCGGCCGTGGCCAAGCCCAGACACGTCTCAAGGCTGCCGAGGCCGAGCTCACGACGCTGCGATCCAAGAATAGAGTCGATAGCAAACGCATCGGCGACCTGACATCCGAGCGCAATGCGCTGACGGCAAGGGTGCGGGATCTGAACGAGGAGCTGGACAAGAAGAAGAAATTCCTGAAGGTATGTGAAACGCGTGAGCGCCATTCTGCGTGTTTGTTGGAGGCTGTGTCGCATATCTGTTGGAAATGGGACGGCGGTGAGGGCCGAACTTGATACGAGGAATCGCGTCTAGGGAACGCGCCAAGGTGGTAAAGGGGCAGAATGAGACGCAGTGGTATTCACCTGTCCGAAGGCAAGCCATTTCATGCTGACTGCTTTTCCCTCTCTAGGATATCCAAGATGACAATCTCACGCTAAACATGGAGCTTAATATGACCATACAGAAGTCAGCGAAGGTGCAAGCCGAGAACAAGGAACTTGTGGATCGTTGGATGAAGAGGATGGGTCGTGAGGCCGACGCCTTGAACCTCCAGAACGAATCACCAAACAAGAATCATAGATGATGGCAACACAAGCCAACTGGAAGGAAACGCCCATCATCGTTGCTATGCCTGGTATCATCTATAACTACATCATCTATACAGTAAGCGTCTAAAACGTTGTCTTGCTCTAGGTTCTAGCCAGTCCTTTGGTATCCTGCGTATCATCGTCCGAACCACCCTACTCCTTGCGATGTATAAGCAACAACTGACATGTGCGTTAGGTAATGCCGAAAACCACTATACAATACGACCTTATTTCCTAGTGGAGATGTAGTACTCTCCATCGGATCCGGTCCAGCTCACCCAATTCTCGTGATACCGGAAATACTCGAAGTCGAGGATACTCGTGGCAACATCATTGATTGCTGTTTTGTTGTCATATACAAAAGACTTGAGAGATATGATCTTGCAGCCCTTCTTCAGGTCGAGGAACATGTTGATGAGAGCATCATTGAGGGTCGATGTGAAGGCCTTATTGTTGACAAGAATGACATCTGCCTCCTTTAGTTTTTCGAGGATCTTTGAGTTGGTTCGGAAATCGCCCCGCTCGAGATGAACCCTTCCTGGTGCGACACCCCAGAGCATACACCGAGACCTGAACTCTTTTTCTTGCGCCTCCGCCAGGTTGCAGGCATTTTCCATTATTTCGCACCCGTAGCTGCGACACCCGATCTCGAGCGCAGCCTGAAGGACGACGTTTCCAACTCCGGATCCGAGATCGATAAAGACTTGATCCGATGTCATTTTTGTCTGCTCGACCAGGATTTTGGTAACGAACGGATGTAACAGCTCTCCGTAAACATTATCGCTTCCGGCATCATACTTCGTGAGCATTTCAACTTTCGGGGCGACCGTGCGATCGTAGACCTGGGTGAGGATCAAGGAGACGAGACTAGATGGAAGGTGGTGGATTCGGTCGAGGGTCTTGGCAATGGTACCGCTTTCTACCAACTCTAGAAGTTTTGTGTTGTAGCTGTTAAGTGCCGCTCGGAAGGCTGAGACATCTCGGTACTTCTCGCTTACGGCGCGTTCCATCTGCCTCCTGAAACTCATGTTATGGTCGATAAAGGCCTTGGAGTCAGCATCGGAGAGGTATGTCTCGGCTACACTCTCAATGATTGCGAGAATGTCTTTGACAGCATCGATCTTATCCTTTTGCCATACGAGCTCATATCTCGAATGTGAAGTTAGCGCTAAAGTTGAAACCCGACCAAGGGAAGGAACTTACCTCTCCCGGGCGCAGCGTGAAGGATATTGCACTTCAATTGCTACCTCGTCATCCTTTGCACCGGGGATCGCGGGGCACTTTGTTGCTCTTGAGGCGATATCGGCTGCATGGATAATATTGGGTTTTCTAACATCGTCGCCAAATGCCTTCTTGTGGCGCAACTTGCGGTTCGCGTCGATTGGCCTACTTTCACTCCGTCGCATACGCTTTCGGAAGGGATCACCGTCATCGTCTTCTGAGTCGGAGTCGTTGCCAAAAGCGGGCGAATCGCGGGGCGTACTGGTCACAGCCTTGCGCTTTCGCTCGATCCGCCGCTCATCAGAGGAGGAGGGGTAGGGAGATGCGCTCTTCGGTCGCGATATGCGCGGGTTAGGGGATAGCTTAGTCGTGGAAGACGCGGGCACGCTTTTGCTAGGTACTAGGCTTGGCCGAGACTTCCTAGGCACAGGGACCTTTTCCACACGCATGACAGGCGGCGCCGTCTTGTGCTTTGACTTCTGGCCAAACAGCCCCATGACTACGCTACACAGAGTTTGGGGTGTTGCGAAGCTCGGCGTGAGGGATTCCTAAACGTATACCTACCTATACCGCTGGAATCACAAGAGATAAGGAGGCTATATCATTCTATATCACGTAACAAAGGAGGGCCGAGTGGGCGAGTGGGCGAATGGGCGGGTTCTTGGGTGCGGCGCGGGGAGGGATGCTGAGGAAAGACAAGCCGCCTGTTGTCGAAAAGAGAGTGGTGCGCCTCGATGCGTGCTGTGGCCGAGAGAGGGGCAGAAAAGAGAAGGGAAATTATAGAAGGAAAGAAGGCGGCCAATGATAGAAACGCAACAAATGACAAATGCTGGGAGCAACAAATAAAGCAGAATGCAATGTCTGTACAGGATGTTGTGTATTGTGGTGTGGTACCTCGACAGTGTAGTGTAGGACTCAAGAGGTCCTTGTTGTACCAGGCAAACTGGAGGGATTGCGAGGCGAAAAGTGGGCAGGCCCAGATTTGGAAGCCTTTCCCTACCCGGTAGGCAGGTGCCACTGGCTACTGCACTGGTCTACCCACACTTAGGTAGGCGCTGTACAGTACCTGCACCCACCTGTCGTAGTGCCACCACCCAAGTGTTCAGCCCTTGGTAAACCCCGCTTTCCCTCTTTGGGATGGTGGAGTGGGCATGCGCAGCCCTTGGAGCTGAGATGGATACACCTTAGGTACTTCTTCACTTCGATTGCACACAATTCATCCTTGGACATCAACCTATCGAGCATGCGTGCACGCCATAGAACGAGTAGTCGCCTCAGTGCCGGACATGGCGCAGATCTTGTCTAAGTGAGCTAGGTAAATCATAGGTGATATGTCTTCCTCTGGATAACACTAGCTCAAGGGTTATTAGGGTGAGTAAAAAGGACTCCCTCGACTGGTTCGCGGACTGCATTGCTGACTATGGGCTCTGCGTCAAGGTTCCCATTCGTCCTGGATAGGTAGGTAGGAGACTGATGTTTTAAAGGAGAGAAACAGTACCGGCATTTTAGGAAGTTTTCCAAACGGGGATAAAACCAGGGGTCTTTTCATTACCGACCACCTGCATTACACTACACTACACTAGCATGGACTGAATACATGCGGATTCCCGCCGCTGAGATTGCCGGATGTCCCGGGAGAGAGCATGAATGCCGATGCTACCTGCGGCTTGGCATGGTGAGAATCCGTCAAGGCCTCTGTCACAATGTTACACTACAGTGCATCCTTTGTTGATAAAAATCCAACTATGTCGAGGGATATCATTTGAATATCCATCTTGTATGTTGCTGATAGTGGCAGAATAACGTCGAAACACCGAATCTCCCACAAGTCAGTTGAGTTCTTCCACCAGAGCCTCATGCCTTGGACGCTGTCTCCGGGGTGAACTGTCATCTGTGGCTGGGTAGCCTTGTTTATGAGACAGCATAGCTATTTGGTCACCTAATGGTTACGCTAAGAGGGATACTTGGAATATATGGGATGCGTTGCATACGATACTGGCGGCTAGAATCTTTCTAGCCTCGCTGCTGTTCTGCTATAGCAGCAACCGCGATGAAAGTGCCGGCACGGCTACTCCGACTGCTCTCCCAGACATCAGGCCAGGCTGGTGTTTCTAGCCCATCTACGTCCCTCGGGCGTGAATTACATTTGCCGCCTCGGTCGAGAACGCCATCGCCTTCACCGCTCTACCGGCTATCACCCGAGAACTAAACGCCGCGAGT